GCGGTTTCCAGCCGTTGAAGGCAAGAGCATTGACGCGCGCAGGGCACACGCGTGTGGTCTGGTGTCCCCGCTGGGGCTTCTGCGCCTGCAGGAAACCGAAAAACGCCGCATATGGGGGATGGACCTGAACCCCGCGGCGGTCGGCTGCGCGCTCAGCCACGCGCTGCTGTGGGCTGCCATCGCCGCACGGCGCCAGCGCTGTGTGCTCGTGGTGGAGGACGACTCGATGTTCCCGCCCGACTTCCATCAGCGCTACGAGGAGCGTGTGGGACATGTGCCGCGGGACTGGGAGCTGCTCTACGTGAGTGGACTAGACACCGCAGGGCAGGCGCCGCTGCTTCGCGTCGCGGAGGGCGTGAGCCGCGTGCCACAATTACACCGCACAACAAACTGCTACGTTGTTTCGCACCAAGGCGCACGACGATTGCTGGAGTTGTGCCTGCCGATGACCTACCAGCTGGACACAATGATGACAATGCACACAATACCTGATGATAAGGTTGAAGTGCCGCACGTGACGTCACCTGTCTGCTACACGCTGCAGCCACCGTTGGTGGTGCAGACGACACGGATGGGCTCCGATATTCAGACCGGCAATGGCAGAGATGACGACGAGGAGGAGCAGGCGCGATGCAGGGCGGCGGGATGGAACACCGACAATGTACCTCCGTAATGGCGGCATCAACACACCAACGTTTTCGAAGCCATACAAATTTATTTTGTTTTTTCCCAGTCTTGGTGACTGGGTGAGTAACCTGACATGCTGCTCCACGTGTTGCGCCAATCCTGCCATTTTCTTTGCTTGCTTGCTTCACACCTGCGACGCTGTGAGTGGAAGATAGGGGGCGAAGATATATTTTCTATTGCTCATCTGTGCCCACAAGTCCTTGTATATATATTTCTATATATATATATATATATAGAAATATAGTCATACCTATTATTTATATCCCCCTTTAGGGCGTCATACGTCCAAGTTAGCGATATTNTATATATATATAGAAATATAGTCATACCTATTATTTATATCCCCCTTTAGGGCGTCATACGTCCAAGTTAGCGATATTATGTTCGATAAATTCTTCAAGCGTGAAACTCCCGAGGAGCAGGCGAAGATATGGCGGCGGCAGCTCAACTCCGAGATGCGCAAGATTGACCTGCAGGTTCGCAAGATTCAGCGGGAGGAGATGAAGGTGAAACAGGCAGCTAAACAGGCTGCACGGCAGAATGACACCGTTGCAGTTCGTATGCTGTCGAAGGAGATCATCCGCTCCCGCCACGCTGTGCGGCGCATGTACACCGCCCGCACACAGATGAACTCCGTCGCAATGCACCTGCAACAGCAGGTGTCGCAGATCAAATTGGCAGGAAGTATGAAGAAAAGCTCCTCTATCATGGCGCAGATGAACGAATTGATGCGCATTCACGAGGTGCAGGGGTCGATGCAGGCGATGGGGAAGGAGATGATGAAGGCCGGGTTGATTGAGGAGATGATGAACGACACCATCGACAACGCCCTGGACGAAGGCATCAGCGAGACGGAGCTGGACGATGAGGTGAGCAAGGTTGTAGAGGAGGTCATGCAGGGGCAGATGCAGGGCACCAGAGTCAACACCACAAGGCTGCCGCAGGTCCAGCAGGAAACGGCGCAGGAGGCGGAGGCAGAGGAGGAGGACATGGACGACAGCGAACTGATGGAGAAGTTCAAGGTCCTCCGCGGCGGCGCGAGCTGAACGGGCGGGTGAGAAAAGGGGTGGTTGGAATAAAGAAGACAGCGGAGTCGTTTCTCTCCCCTTTTTTTTTCACCCTTTGAAAACAAAGAAAAACCTTGGAAAAAGGAGACCTCTATCTCTTCGCTTTCTATCCTGCTTTCCAATATGGCGACTGAAATGATGCGGAGGTGGAGGACCTCTGTGAGGGTGGGCGCTGTGCGGACGTGCGACAAGTGGACGGCGGCGTACTTCGACGCGAATGCCAATGCGCCCTCCTCGCGTGTCGCACCGCCACCGCCGCCGCTGCTGCTGCTGCTGCTGCTGCCCCAATCTCCCCCTTCTACCCCCTCAACATCTTCCTCTATCTCACCCAGTGCTCGTGCGCCGGAGTTTTCGGAAGCGGCGTAAAGTAGGAGAGTGCCACCGCCAACGGTGCACGGGAAGTGGGAAATACGAAGGGAAATATTAGTTAAGAGTGTGGAAGCCGACGGAAAACCAAAAACAACAACAACAAAGCAAAGGAAAACAAGGAGAGAAAACAGAAACTGTAGGAAAGGTCAGCGCCACCACGCCAGTAGTGCCAACAATATAACGGAAAGGGAAGAGTGGGAGTGTGTGTGTCTCCGGCCCAACCACCACTGCGCTCTGAAACAGCAGCAACGAGAGGTGGTTCCAGTTCTTCACGCGGCGCAGATTTCTATTCTTCCTTTCTCTTGGTTTCAAGAAGGCCCCACCCCACTCCACTCAGCTGTTGTTTGCCATCATGAAACCGAACACAGCCTCCTCCTCTTCCTTCGCCCCTTCGTACGAGCGGGATCACGCTGTCCAGACGCGCTCTGGTTTCACAGTACTGACGGCGGAACATAAACACAAGAACTGGGCACTTCAGACTCGCGTCAGTGGCATTCTCCCTATTGACGATGATCAGAAGGTCTCTGATTGCGACCTCTTGTACCGGTTTCTTATCGGCAGACAGTTTAGTGTGGAGAGGGCAGCTGCCTCCTTACTGAAGTACGCTTCACTGCGGAAAGAGTATAGACTCAACGACATCATGACAGAAACATACGAGACGGATGTTGAATCAACCGCCACTCTCCTCTACGGCTTCGATAATGACAGTTTCCCCATCATGTGGAACACGCCGGACGTGTCGGCGATTATCACGGTCTTAAAGAATGGGTCCAAGAAGGATTTGCTGAGGGTGCAGATGCGGATCATGGAGTTCGCGCGTTTTCTGGCAAAAACTCGGCATGTAGACCGTTGTACATTCGTGTTGGATCTCTTGAACGTAAACATGTCTGCCGTAAACTCGCTGACGCTGTCATTTGTGCGTGAGTTATCCAAGATTTTACAGGAATACTACCCAGAGATCATGAGCCGCATTCTCGTGTTCAATGCGGGCTGGGCTGTGACGGGGGCATGGAAGGTGCTGAAGCCGTTCGTTGATGCACGCGTACAGGAGAAGATTCGCTTTTTTTGCACTGGCCCTACACTAGAGTTGTTGTTGCCATTCATGCCCGCAGATCAGATTCTGCCTTCGTATGGAGGCACCGGCACCCGGGACGAGGCAAAAGAGATTATCAACAAGGAACTGGAGCGACGCACTAGAGGCCCATTGGGCACTCCGTATCACTGTGACCCCTCGTCATCATCATCGTACCACGTGGACCCTGCAGCACTTGACGGTTCATACCGTAGTGAACCCACAGTGACGTTGTCTGGCGAGGAAATGCCGCAGCAGCAGGAGTGGGAGCGGCTTGACGACTCCAAGGAGTCACTACCACCTCCCGACGGTGACATTGAAGAGCTGTTCAGTCTTTGCAGCTCTTTTGACACCAGCGACACTAGTGACAACGACAGTAAGACGTTTTCACCAACGCTGCAGATCGGCTCACCGGAGGTGCTTGAACCCTCCAGCCGAAGGGCCGGTGATGAGCATTCGCCGTCCACTCGGCGGCGAGTGCACATCGCGGCGGGGCAGGACGGCCAGGCTATTAATCTAACAGAATGCCCAGACGGCAAGGTAATGGGCTTTTGTGAGAGTGTGCCCCTCGCAGAGATGGTGCAGAACATTGTGTACCGGGGCTTAACAGATATCATGCGAGACGTACTCCTACCGCGGTCAACCTCGTCAGCTGTTGGGCAGGAGCGGACAATGGTGGGGGAGTTGCTCAGAGAGGGCGGTCATCACGTCCATCACCACGTGATTGTGTGTGATGCTCAGCGACGCGCTGACTTCGTCCTTCGGAAAAGTCGATTGCGCCGTCGGGTGCAGGTATACCGCGTCGTTGGGAGCTGCCAGGTCCACACGGACAGTCTTAACCGCCACTCGGTTGATGGCGAGAAGGTGAAGATAGGTGAATGTGTGCCGCACAGCGGAGCCACCAACGACCCCGCTGCGTGGATGATGTACGCGGTATGTACCAGCGGTGGCGGTAGCAACATATACAATAGAAATGCGAATGAAAAAGAAGACAACAATGGGTTGCGTTTGGCGGAAAAGAAGGGACAGACACTTATTGCGTACGGCCAAATCGCGGAGATGGCACCGATTGATATCTTCACACTTCTAATGGGGGTCTGTCGCGTGTGGGAGGCGAACCTGCGCCCCCCACAAGAGGGGAAGTTGATGAAGACGAAGAATCTCTTTGGCGTGCGGGTTCCGGTGCCCACCACGCAGCTCCTGCGTGGCCTGCGGAGACGCATCTCACCCGCGACCACTACGGGCGACGGTGAAAAGGTGGAGCCTCTCTGATTACGTGGTGCTTCTTCCGTGTTGGGTTATTGGGCCTCTTAGAGGAGGATGTGTGCGTCTGTGTAAGCGAACAACGGTGTGTGCGCGCGTACAAATATGTATTTGCACAAATACATACATTCAAAATCAGACGCAAATGCGAATGGCGAAGGAGGAGGCTACGCACTCTTTTAGAGGGGGCGGCTGAAACAAACTGGAATTAATGCTGTCTCCCATGGAGAAAAGCTTGATCAATCTCGTTCCGTTTTTCTTTTTCTTGTTGTTGTTTTATGTGTGTGGCTTCGTACACGAAGTACTCTTCCTTTCTATGTCCCCTTTTTGTTTGTTTTCGGTTGCCACTTCCCCCTCCCTCCCTCCCTCCCTCCCTTTCCCCCTGCTGGTTTCGGCTCTGCGCTGGCGCTTGCTGATCATGAGACATCTCTCTTCCATACACCAGATTTTTTACTCTCTCACACACACATACACATATACACATACACGTGCCATTTTTATTTTTGTGCTGAGGGTATTGCTTCCGCGCATACACACATACACGCGTACACCGCCCGGAGTAGTTCCTCTAGTTTTAGTGCGTATTTCCCTCCTCGTAGAAGATGCTCCAAAAGGTGCAGTTGCAGGAGAAGGAGCAGGGCCCGGGTTTCCTTGGCCGCATCCTCCGCAAGGTGGACGGCTGCGATATCAAGTTCATTCTGGACGGGAAGATGGACGAGAGTAGAGTCGCCGTCGACGACCCGTACGAACGCAGGAGCCAGCGCCTGCATCTCTTCGCCAGCACCGAGCCGGTGCGTGGCCGTGTGGTGCTGTCGCCGAAGGGTAACTATCGGCACAACGGCATTCTGGTGGAGCTGGTGGGCATCATCACGACGTTTGGTGAGAGTGAGCAGAAGCTTGACTTCATGCGGCAGGAGAAACGGTTCGAGGCAGACACGCTGCGGAGCCCGACGCCCTTCGAGTTCAACTTCTCCGCGCCGAAGGAGTACGAGTCGTACCGCGGTATCAACGCGCGTGTGTCGTACTGGCTGCGCATCACCATTTACCGCCCAGTGAAGAACATCACGGAGACGGAGGAGGTGTGGGTGAACAAGGTGGACGAGCAGATGAGCGATAGCCAGCCCGACGCGTCGCGGCACCGCAGTTACTTCCGCGAGACTGTCTTTGGCCCCCAGTCAACGTCGATGGACGTTGGTGTCGACAACATCCTCCACATTGAGTTCAGATACGACAAGAAGATCTTTCACCTCAACGAGCGTGTGCTGGGTAAGGTGACGTTCAAGGTGGCTGACATGGACATCAAGCACGGCGAGATCGGCGTCGTGCGGAAGGAGTTTGTCGGTGCCGGCAAGGCGTGTGACTCTGTGCAGTCGGAGACGCTGCAGAAGTTCGAAATTATGGACGGCACACCGATTGTGGGTGAGGTGGTGCCCATTCGCCTTTACCTCCGCTCCATTCCGCACCTCACACCAACGTACGCGGACGTGCACAAGTGCTTCCGCGTGCTGTACTTTCTCAACCTCGTGCTCGTCACGGGCGATGGCAAGCGATATTTTAAGCAGCAGGAGATCACGCTTTACCGCAGACGGGGACAGGAGGTGCCCGCAACAGGTGCGATGGAGTCGCCCTGAGCACCTGCGACACAAGCAGCAGCAGCAGCAGCAACAAGAGACACTCCAAGCGGCAACTATCGAACACGCATACGCACGTTATATATATATATATATATATATATACGTACATGGAGAATGGCGTGTGAGTAGGCAGGCGTGATTACTCTTTCGCCTTGTTTCTCCCGATTCTTCGTTGCGCCCGAACATCGTGCTTCTGTGCGGATGCGCGGAATGGAGCCAAAGCGAGAGGGTCAATTGTGCAAGTGCACTGATTGTTGCTTTATATGTGTGCTTGTGTGTGTACGTATCGGTGTGATTGCATGATATGTCCACTTTTTCCCGCACACAGCGTTTCAGGTGGCATATAATATAATATTACAATATATATATATATATATATATGTTTCTTTTGCCCTCTCCATAGCACAAATACACGCATACACAAAGACGATATTTAGCGGCCTAATAACAACAACCATGTCGGTACATAACACGCTGCANCTGCAGATGGTGCTGCCGACGCTTGGGAAGGTCGCACTGTCGCTGCTTGCCATTATCGTGGTGCGCGCCATGGTGCGCCGCGCCCGTTGCCGCCCACTCACGCGCGGCAGCGTCGCCCTTATCACCGGCGGTGGCGGCGGCATCGGCCTCGAGTTCGCGCGCTTCTTTGCACGGTCCGGCTGTCGCGTTGTTCTCGTCGGTCGCAACGCGGAAGCCCTTCGTGAAGCACAGGCGTCGTGCATCGCGCTGGGTGCCCCGAGCGCTGACATCATCGTCGCGGACCTCAGCACCGTTGACGGCACCGACAAGGTGGGCGCGGAGCTGCAGCAGCAGGAGCATCCGGTTAAGTACATGGTACTCAACGCGGGCGCAGGCGCGATTGTTCCATTCTCCAGTGGCCCTGAGTTTCACGCCATCTGCGAGAATATGATGCAGATCAATTACTTCGCCAACGTGCGTCTGCTGCAGCAGCTGCTGCCGATACTTGAAAAGACGCATTCGGCCGAGAATCCCTCGCGTGTCGTGGTCGTGTCATCGCTCGCAGGCGTGCTGCCGTCCATCTACCGCAGCGCCTACACCGCGTCCAAGCACGCCATACAGGGATTTATGAACGCACTGCGCGGAGAGACGTCGGTGTCGATTACGCTCTGCTGCCCTGGCTACGTTGACACCGACTTCCACCGACGTGCACAGCTTCAAGGCAGCTTGGCGACTGGCAACCACCGCCGTGGTGTGCCGCCGGATGTGTGTGTGCAGCAGTGCATGACAGGTGCTCTGTGCGGCGATGCAGAGGTGCTGACAACGCTCACCGGCAAGCTGGGCTACGTGCTGCGCCCCGTCTTCACGAGCCTCATCGACACACAGGCGAAGAAGATGAGTGTCCGCTCGCTCCAGAAGTAGGGGGTGGGGCTCTCACAACAACATCAGTAAGAGGCGTGTGGAATCGTCTGGTTGATCTTGTATAATCCATGCGCTTCTCGTGGCACGCTCTTTTTTCCCTCCTCCTCCTGTCTGACTGCGCCCACTGAGAAATAAAAATTCTCTCATGTGCACTTTCTCTTTCCCTCTTTCTTCATCTCTGTAATGCTGAAACATTTCGTGTCGGGGCGGGTGGGGAAGGATCAACAATGGCCAAGTCGAAGAACCACACGAACCACAACCAGTCGCGGAAGAACCACCGCAACGGCATCAAGCCGCCGCTGCCGAGCTACCTGCACAACTCCAGGCGCGGAACCTGGCTGCCGGCCCTCGTGAACTCCCGCCGCGTGCGCAAGAACAACCAGAAGGCCGCCATTAAGGCTCGCCGTGAGCGCCTCGCCGCGCACAAGGCCGCACAGAAGTAGACGCACCGTTGGTCCTGTCAAACTGTTCTTTCATGTTTACTTTTTCAACATAAACGCTTTATTTCCACCCGTAGGGATGTGCGCTTTTGGCCGCCCTTTATGGGCCGCCTATTTCATGTTGCTGCTTCTGGTGCTGAGTTTTTTTTTGGGAATCTTTGCACACATTTGTTCTTCCCTCTGTTTTCCCTCTTTTTTTTTTTGTTGCTTGTTTGCCTTGGCTATCCCACACGAATGCAATAAAGGAGGTTAGGACCCGATGGCCAAGTCGAAGAACCACACGAACCACAACCAGTCGCGGAAGA